CATCATCATCATCAGCATCAGCATCAGCATCATCATCATCAACATCATCATCGTCATCATCATCATCATCAGGATCATCATCAACAACAACATCATGATCAGCAGCATCATCATCATCAGCATCATCATCAGCATCATCATCATCAGCATCGTCATCGTCATCGTCATCGTCGTCATCATTATCGTTGTCGCCATCATCATCAACATCATCATCATCATCGTCATCATCATCATCATCAGCAGCATAAGCATCATCATCATCATCAACATCGTGATCGTCATTATCATAGCCATCACCATCATCATCACAATTATCATCATCACCATCACAATCATCGTCGTCATCGTCATCGCCATCGTCTTCGACATCGACATCATCATCATCGTGATCATCATTATAAGTATCATTTTCATCATCAGCATCGACAACATCATCATCACCAACACCAACAGCATCATCATCATAATTGTCGTCGCGGTCTTTGTCACCGTCGCCAGCAAAAGCGACAGCATCAGCAAAATCACAATCCATCATCATCAACATCATCATCATCATCGTTATCATACTAACCGTTATCGTAACAGTCAGCAACAGCATCGGCATCAACTCAGCAGCACCATCATCAGCATCATCAGCAGCAACATCGTCATCGTCATACTCATTATTCTTTCTCCTAGCCATCATCATCCTCATCATATATGAAGCACACCACCATCATCATCATCAAAATCATCATCGTCATCGTCGTCATAATAATCACCGTCACCATCATCATCAACACCATCGACCATAATCACCATCATCATCACCGATCAACCTCACCGTCATCCATCATCATCATCATCATCATCATCATCATCATCATCATCACCATCATCACCATCATCATCCCTATCACGGCTTTCCTAATCCTGGCGACATGAGGTGTCACACGTATTTAACTGCCTCCCGTATCCCTCAAACAGTCGCAACCCTGAATGCTGGGCTGGCAAGGTGGCGGGACTTGCCGCGGGCAGCTGGATCTCCTTCTGCAAAACCACAGCGAAAAAAGAATACGTTTGTGAAAGATGGGTACAAAAGGCTGCTCAGAAAAAGAAAGACGTTGCACCGCTGCCTCGATCTAACCCTGACTGCGTGGGATGTCACAAAAAAATATATTTAGGCAAAGCCGCCATAGTATCATCACGTGTATACAGGGCCAGCACAGAAACAGCCGTCTGAAATCGCACAAATGGGGCCCTGTAGCCCCCCCCCCCCCATCGGCCGAGTATAGGGGCGGGGCGTGCGGCTGATCCATCGGCTCCAGCGCGGGTGCCTCCAACCACGGGCGAGATAATGAAGATCATGATGGCGACGCGGGTACTAATAGTAATGATAATAATAACCGTGAACTACGAATGACAGTACACACAATACCGATAATAATGGTAATGGTAATCACAACAACAAAAAATCATCATCATCATCATCATCATCATCATCATCAGCATCAGCATCAGCATCAGCATCAGATCAGCATCATCATCAGCATCAGCATCAGCAGCATAATCATTAGCACCAGCACCATCATAACAGTAACACTAGCGTTAATAATATATACAATGTTTTTTTGAACGAAAAACATAACAAACACTGAGACTACTCCTCATTACCATCATCACCGATCGAATACTAAAAATACTAAGAATAACAATAATTGTGATAATGCAAGTGCTGCTACTACCAATGATGCTGACGGTGATGATGATGATGATGATGATGATGATGATGATGATGATGATGACGCTGATGATGATGATGACGCTGATGATGATGATGATGATGACGAAGGCGGCGACGACGACGACGACGAAGACGGCGATGGTGGTGACGTTAACGGTTCCCCCGATCGCGCAGAAGAGAACGGTCACCGAGCGGGCGTGCGGCGCGCGCGCGGTAGACCCACAAGCGGCAGGGGCCGAGGAGAACCGAAGATGACATATGAGTAGAATTGATGGTGATGCTGGAGAACATGATTATGATGATTGGTGATGATGATTGGTGATGGTGATAATGATTGGTGATGATGATGGTGAGGAGGAGGAGGAGGGGGAGGGGGAGGAGGAGGAGGAGGAGGAGGAGGAACCCACGGCCCCACCGCGGGGGCGCTACCCGCGGGGGCGCTCACAGCGAAGGGGCGCGGCAAGCGGCGGCCGCGACGACAGCAGCGGGGGGGGGGGGGACGCCTCGGCGGCGGCGACGGCAGCGGCGGCAGCGACGACGACGGGTGGGCAGCAGGCTGGATATATAGAGAGAGAGAGCAGGAGGAAGAGGAGGAAGAGCAGCATCAACGAGAGCAATAGTAGGGTTTGGAGCAAGACGGTCACCAACACAAGCAAGGGAGGAAAGAGAAGGCGAGGACGGAACAAAAACCGCCCCCCCCCCCCCCGGAAAAAAAAGCGAGGAATGGAAGGAATGATGCGGAACTCTAACTCGAGCGTAGGTGTGGAATTGTTCGGCGAAACGTCGACAACCCTTCAAAGCAGCAACCTGCACCCCCGCCGCGTTTTGGCGATTTGTTGACGCACAGCTATTGGCCAGCCTCCTCCTTCCATTTCACCTCCGCCTCCCGCCTCCCTCCTCCTCCTCCTCCTCCTCCTTCTCTTCCTCCTCCTCTTCCTCCGCCTCCTCCTCCTCCTCCTCCTCCTCCTCCTCCTCCTCCTCCTCCTCCTCCTCCTCCTCCTCGTCCATCACCTCCTCCGCGTCCCTCTCCTCCTCTTCCTCCTCGCCCCCCTCCTCCTCTTCATCATCCTCCTCCTCATCCTCGTCCTCCTCCTCCTCCTCTTCCTCCTCCTCCCCCTCATTATCCCCCCCCCTATTCCTCATCCGCCTCCTCCTCCTACTGCTGAAGATCATCATCCTCCTCCTCACCACCATCATCATCATCATCATCAGCAGCATCATCATCACATCATCATCATCATCACCATCATAATCACCATCATCGCCATCATCATCATCATCATCATCATCATGGTCATCACAACCATCATCATCATCATAACCATCATCATCAACAACATCATCAGTCTCATCATCATCACCATCTTCATCATTAGCATCAGCATCATCATCATCAGCATCATCATCATCAGCATCGTCATTACCATCAGCATCATCATCGTCAGCATCGTCATCATCATCATCCTCATCCTCATCATTATCAACATCAAAATCATCAGCAATATCATCATGACCATCCTAATCATCATCATCATCCTCATCATCATCAGCAGCATCAGCATCATCATCAACATCATCACCATCGTCACCATCATCAGCATCGTCATCCTCAGCAGCATCATCATCACCATCACCATCGGCAGCATCATTAACAGCATCATCATCAACATCATCATCATCATCAGCATCATCATCATCTGCATCATCACCAGCATCATCGCGACCATCATTATCATGATCAACATCTTCATCATCATCGTCATCCGTATCACCAACAACACCAATATCATCATCAGCATCATCATCATGAGCAGCACCAACACAATCATCAGCATCATCATCATCAGCAGCAGCATCACCAGCATCATAAGCATCATCATCATCATCCACATCTTTATCATTGCCATTGTCGTCGTCACCATCATCATCATCAACATCATCGCCATCCTCATCATGCCCGACGATGGTATTTCCGAGGCCAGGTCGGAGTATGTTAGACAGCAAGAGGCAGCACCGTGAACGACACTGGAGCCGGCAAGAAAGATAATTCATCAACCGAATTTGTGCTCTGGCGAACGGCCCCACGGCCACGGCGAAGCCTTGCAGCAGCAACAGGGCGGGAGGGTGGGAGCTCGAGAGCCGAAGGCTACTGACAAGAAATAACGCATTCTGCATTCGGCTTCTCCCTTCCCCTCTAAAGGCATTCGTCTTCAATAGAAAAACCCATGCCCGACGATGGTATTTCCGAGGCCAGGTCGGAGTATGTTAGACAGCAACAGGCAGGGCCGTCAACAACACTGGGGCCGGCAAGAGAGATAATTCATCAACCGAATTTGTGCTCTGGCGAACGGCCCCACGGCCAAAACATCCCGAACTATCCGGAGGGCTACTCCTCTGATGTTAGCTGCCTAGCCAGAGCGGTGTGACTGACAGCGCCTCGGAGTGTAGTCTGGCGCCGACGAGCGCGCGAGCCCATCGTCTCGCGAGCGTCCTGGGATAGGCCCGCGCAACTAAAAAATCCACAATGGCCTTCCAGGAGCTTTTCCCCTCAGAATCTGATGAGGCTGACCAGTCCTACTACAACATGCACGAGAGCCAGTGCACAAGCGAGCGGAAGCCGAGACATCAACGCGATAACCTAGGAGACCAGTCGGCTTTTTCCACGCTGTCCCGTCTTGGCAAAAATGTATGACAGCCCAGAAAAAAAAAACGTGGCTGCTCACGACAGCTCTGCAGAGGCGGAATGAAAAAAAAAAAAAAAACAAAAAAAACAAAAAAAAAACAAAAAAAAAAAGCTCACAAAGGTTGAACAGGCAAGCAGGGAGGACACAAAAAAAAAAACAGACAGTAAAAACAACAAAAGAAATAAAAAAGGAAGAGAAAAAAAAAACAAAAAAAAAAAAAAAATCCTAAACATCGCGGGTTCTCGAAGTGTAAAACGGAATCTCTGCAGACGCTTACAACTTGCCCAAACATACTCACAAGCTCTCACTAGCTCTTTGCGGTCCCGTGATCTTAGCCTGGTCCACTGGGCGCGGTCACAGCTGCAACAAAAAAAAACGAAATAAAAAAAAAAAAAAACAAAAAAAAAAAAAAAAAAAAAAAGAAAAAAAAAAAAAAATATATAAAAAAAAAAAAAACAAAAGAAAAACAAAAAAAATAAAAAAAAAAAAAAAATAAAAAGAAAACAAAAAAAAAAAAAAAAAAAAGTAAAACAAATAAATCCCCCAGAGCTCTGAGTCGGAGCGAAATGGGCTCGGCCAGGAAGGAGGCCCGCCTGGCACGCGCAGCGGTCCGGTGTCTCGGACGCTGGACCACGTCTCACAGGGCGCGCCGACATGCATGCCCCAGATCAGGCCGGCGCCCAGCCAGCCCCGCAGCACGCGGGAGACCTTTGGGTCGGCGAGGTCCCAGTCGGCACCCCGGGCTATGTTCAATTCGATGACCAGGGCGCCCTCGCCCCGCAAGGCTGCTGCCAGCACGCCTTCGCCGGAGAAGACCTCCACGAAGATCGGAGGCGCCAGGAAACGCCTGCGGCGGGGGCCCAGCAGCTTCCTCAGCGCCAGCCGAGGAGAGAGGCCAGCCGCGCCGGGGCCAGCAGGGCCGCGCGCTGCACCTCGGGCGCCAGCCTCTGCAGCTGGCCTGGCTCGAGGTAGCGCGCGACCGACGCGTCGGTCCGCCAGCGGCCGCGGAGCTTGGCGCTGGCCAGGGTCCGCAACTGCAGTGCCAGCTCCACCGACGGGCCCGAGTGCCGCAGCTGGTACAGCTGCGGGGTGAGCGACGCCAGCCCCATGTCCTCCGCCGCCCCCTTGAACAGGGAGCTGACGCGCACGAGGGGGAACGGGAACAGCGGCTCGCTCGGGTGGGTCGCCGCCTTGAGCCAGCGGAGAGCGCTGGGCAGGAAGCTGTAGAACGGCAGGTCGAAGGGGACCACCTCGTCGTAGACCTGCGTCTTGCTGGGCCCCGCCAGCTCGCGAGGATGGAGCACCAGTGACCAGCCGTCGCACACGCCCCCCGGCGTCGGGGGGATCAGGTGGGCCCCCAGGGCCCGCAGCGCCTCCGACGGTCGCAGGTGGCCCGCGAAGGTCACCAGCGCGTAGAGGGCGACCCGCAGCTGGCCCCGATCGATCAGGCGAGTCGCGATGAGCGCCACGATCTCCCAGGGCAGCGGGAGCCTGGTGCGAGCTGGCACTCGCCTCCGCCAGCCTCGCAAGGCCTGCAGCGCCTTCGGCGGCCCCTGGCCCCCGCGCCCGAACTGCGGCATCATGAACTTCAGCGCCGCCAGGAATAGGCCCCGCGCTCGGGGCTCCAGCCCTCGGCGCACTGCTGGCCCATCCAGTGCGCCAGCAGGTCGCCCCCCTCCTCCTCCCGATCGCCTTTCCTCTTGCTGACCTCGCTGCTCCTCCTCGCCCCCGCATCGGTCGCCCGTCGGCCAACGAATCTCTCGGTCGCCCGTCGGCCAACGAATCTCGATCGATATGTCGCCCCCCGTTGCCGGGTGCCGGCGCGCCTCGAGATCTTGACCCCCCGACTTCCCTGACAAAAGAATGTCGCGAACCCTTCCCCCGTCGAAGGGCTCGCGGGCGTCGACGCGCGCAGCCGCGCCCGCCCACCTGGGCAGCAGGGGGGTCCGAATGCATTGGTACCAGTATGTGCGTAGAGCTCACCCCGAGTCGATGTGCGCGTTTGCACATGCATGTATGTATGTGTATATATATATACACGTATACCTATGCATACATAGATGCTTGTACATACATAGGGCTTGCAAGCATTATGCGTAGATGTACATCTAACTCCGTAAAAGTACACACGCACACATCTATTGATAGCACTACTTGTTTATATAACCACCCATCCATCAGCTTTCCCGCCCTTCCACGATACCGCATCCTTATGATGCCAGATGGGTATTCCATCATCGTCATCATCATCGTCAAAACGTCAGCATCAGCATCAGCATCATCACCATCACCATCACCATCGCCGCCGTCATCTCGTGATCACCGCCGTCGTCAACTTCATCATCGTCATCATCGTCATCATCAGCATCAACGTGTTAACCATTGTCATCATCAACGTCATCGTCATTCTCATCAGCAGCGAAATCTGCATCATCAACATCATGATAAGCATCACCATCAGCATCACCGTCGTCATTCCATTCCGTCGTCGTCACCCGCATCATCGTTATCGTCATCACCAATACCATCATCAACATCACCACCGTAAGAGTCGCCGTCATCCACATACTTATCAGCATCATCAGCATCAATGCCATCATCACCACCATCATCGACATCGACATCATCACCATCATCAGCATCAATGCCATCATCACCACCATCATCGACACACTCACCACTCATCATCGTCATCATCAACAACAACATCAGCATCATCATGACGATCATCAGCATGATCATCACCATCAGCATCACCAGCACCATCAACATCGTGACTACATCATCTCACTCCCTCCATGGTGTGTTCATCCAACCTTCAGCCCGAGTTGCCAAGTCAAACTACGACTTCATGTCGGCGAACAACTGGCACTTGATCGCCTTGATCTTGTCTTTTTCGATCGTCCTCTCCTTGACGGTCTGTTTGAAGATGCCCCTGATGAGCTGGTCGCTCAGCTCGCGGCGGTCGGTCTTCTTCACCGGCACCTCCGACCAGGCGCGGTCGCCGACCTGCGCGAGCTGCAGCCACTTCGGAGCGCCCGACGCTCGCCGGCACGCCAACGTGCTGTAGCCCTCGCTGTCGCGGCGCAGGTACTTGACCCCGGCCATCTCGCCGTCGCCCACCGTCTGGAAGCAGGCGCGCATGGGATCCTCATCCTCGATCTGCACCTCGTTGACCACGTCCTCCTCGGCTGCAACTTCCTCGGCTGCGCCTTCCTCGGCCTCCTCCTCCCCCTCCTCCTCCTCCTCGGCCTCAGCGGCCACCCCCCCGCCACCCCCCGCGTCCTCCGCGCCCTCTGCGCCCGCGCCCTCCTCTGCGCAGTCTGCGCCGTCGCCCTCGCCATCGTGCGATTCCTCCTTGGCCTTCTTGGCGGGCGCGGCGGCCGCCGGCCTCTTGGCGGCCGGCTTCTTGGCGACGGGGGCCTTCTTGGCGACGGGCACCTTCTTGGCGACGGGCGCCTTCTTCGCGGCGACGGGCGCTCCCTTCTTGGCGACGGGCACCTCCTTCTTGGCGACGGGCGCCTCCTTGGCGAATGGCACCTCCTTCTTGGCGACGGGCACCTCCTTCCTGGTGTCGGGCGCCCCCTTGTTGGCGTCGGGCGCCTCCTTCTTCTTGGCGACGGGCACCTCCTTCTTATCCTTCTTCCCCAGGCCCACAGGGATCGCCGCCAGTTCATCATGATCCTGCGTCTCGGCATCCTCGACCTTCACCAGCTTCTTCTTCTTCTTCGTGGACTTCGTTTGCTCCTTCTCCTTTCTGGGCCGCTTGCGCATCGCGATGCCCTTGATCGCCCTCGAGAACGGGATGCGGCCATTCGGACTCGACGCTGCGCACGGGCCCCCGCATGCGCTGTCGGCCTGGGCGTTCGCATTCGAGATCTGGGCGTCATCCTCGATGGCCGCGTCGATCTGCCGGGCGTCGTCCTCGAGGGCCGCGTCGATCTGGGCGACATCCTCGATGGCCGCGTCGATCTGGGCGTCGCCCTCGAGGGCCGTGTCGACGCCGATCTGGGCGTCATCCTCGAGGGCCGCGTCGACGATCTGGGCGCCCTCCTCGAGGGCCGCGTCGACGATCTTGGCGCCGTCCTCGGCCGCGTCGACGATCTGGGTGCCACCCTCGAGGGCCGCGTCGATCTGAGTGCCATCCTAGACGGGGCTCGAGCGATCAACCCTTCGAGCGATGGGGCCACCCATCATCCGCAGGGATGGCCCCTCGATCGGGGCCGCGCATCGCGGGGGGCAGGGGGGTCGCGAGGGAGGAGCGTGATCCCAATGATCCACGCCCTGCGGGCGCCCCCACCCCCCCCCCCCCCCCCCCCTCCGATCTCTGAGGGCCACTCGGCCCCCGCCCGCGTGGCCCCTTGCAACCCTCGATCATCTTCTGGTCGACTGCATCGTCTTCAGGCAACTCCGGGGACTGGCGGAAGCGCTCGCCAATCGCACTGTCGCCCACGCTCTCGACTTCGTCACCGTCGGAGACTTCGACCTGCAGCTGATTGCGCGCGCAATCGCAGCCCCGTTGACAACCGGCCCCCAAGGTCGGCCCCTGCAGGATCAGCCCCAGGGCCCCAGGGCCCCCCAGAAGATGCGGAATCCAAAGTACAGTGCATGAGCACCTGCATTAATGAACTATACGTTGGTTTCCGCAGGTGTAGTTTTCCTTAAGAACATACACGCGTATATACACACATACCTACATGCCTACATGCCTACATACATACATACATACCTCCCCACCGACCTAAAACTGTTCACATACGTACATACATATATATACATATCTATACATCATACAAAGAAGTAAGCATGCTGATACTTGAATGCTTAGCGCACGCACGTGCCCTCCCACCTGGCCGGCGCGCCCGTCTGCCCCATCGTCGCCAAGAGGGCCCTCTGCCAGTGAACGAAGCCGATGCGCAGCGCCATGCGCTGCATAAACCTGGCTGGGCACCCCGCAGGCTTGATCGGTGGGAATGGCAATTGACGCCGGGATGGGCGGGGGGGATAGGAAGGGGGTCAGGGCGGGGGAGGGGGTCGAGAGCAGACCACAATCTTAAGATGTGCGCAGGTCTTCTTCCCCTCTGGAATGCCCCCATTCCTCCTCGAGCCCCTCCCCTTACCCCGACTACGGTTGTGCATTATTATTCCATGTGTGTGTGTATGTATGTATGGGTGTATGTATGTATACATGTATGTATGCACGCATGTGGGCATGTGTATTTGTATACTTGCGCACGCATATATACAACTATGTTATATATATGTATATATAAATATAGAGATGCGCATGTATACACGCACTTGCACACACGAGTGCGCACGTACAACGAAATCCGACTACACTGACATCGAACTATATAAACATATACGCCTACATATATACACATTAACATGTACATCGAGATATCCATATGCATAAGCTTTGCCACATACATGCATCCACTTGAACATATACTTATGCAAACAACCACGTACACATTTTGATATATATATATATATATATATATATCACATGCATGCAAACACACGACGGAGCATAACGACCCAGGGGCCGGACGACGCATGGCCAGGAAGGGCACGCCGTCACCGCGCGCCCCCAGCCCCCCGCGAGCACATATCTACACATATAGCCATGCATGTGTATAGTCGGACACGCGCTGCGTCATAACCAGTATATATACTAAAATACAACACGCGCCCGATATATCTTCTTCATATTGGTGAGCCTGTGCCCTGCCAGCACGCTGTTGGTCGGCCCCCTGCCCTTCTGCTCGCGGCACTGCGCCGCGAACTTCTCGCGGCGCCCCCCGCCCCAGACCGCGCCTGCGCTCGCTGCGTCGATCGATCGATCGAGGATCGAGAACTAGATCGACCCTCGATCGTTCGATCGAGGATCGCTGGCTCGAGGGTCGACGACTAGGATCGAGGGGCTGGCCGAGGGGGCGAGCCCAGGACGGGGCCTAGGGGGGGTCGAGGTGCCGATCGACAGAATCGAAGGATTCGGAAGGGGTGGGGGGTTCGGGAAGAGGGTGGCGAGTTTGGATCGAGCGATCTGTTTGTTTGATTATCGCTCTCTCCTCTCTCCTCTCTCTCTCTCTCTCTCTCTCTATCTCTCTATCTATCTCTCTCTCTCTCTCTCTCGCTCTCCCCTCCTCTCTCTCTCTCTCTCTTCTCTCTCTCTCTCTCTCTCTCTCTCTCTCGCTCTCTCCTCCGCTCTCCTCCCCCCCTCTCTCTCCTCTCTCTCTCTCTCTCTCTCTCCCTCTCTCTCTCCCTCTCCTTCTCTCTCTCTCTCTCTCCCCCTCTCCTCTCTCTCTCTCTCCCCCCCCTTGTTTTCTCTCTCTCTATCGTCTCTCTCTCTCTTCTCTCTCCCTCTCTCGATCATTTGATCACCCTTGCCTGCCCGAACCCGCTCTTGAAAAAACCCCAGTTTTTCCGTTTTCCGTTCCGCCACCCCCCCCCCCCCCCCCCCCCCCCTCAAGTTTTCCACTACCGCACACCCCCCCCCCCCTCTTCTCCTTAGTCTCCTTAGCTACTCCTCCAA